GTATAACTAAGTGGTATTTATCCCCATATTACTATTTATATGGTGCTGCATTTTTCCAGAGTAGGGAGAGAAAAACAGAGAAAATGAAAGATTGCCATAGGAGCTTAGACATTCATAGCTCAGGAATGTGCTAAATTGGATAGGAACAGCCACTAGCAAAAATAAGAATTATTTGAAGCTTTATAGGAAACTATGGGAACTGTAAATCACTACTGAAAAAACTGAGCTTCATTGAAACTGATGAAAGTGACAAATAATCTCTCCCCATCCATCTGGTCCCCTTAGAATTTTCCATTATCTCCTTTGGTACTCCTCCCACATCTGTCAGGAACACGTCTCCTTAGGGAGGTCATTCCACTAGGGGAAGGAGCCGGCTGTAGCTCCCAGCATCCACCACCTTTTCAGTCTAGACTGGGTGAGATCTAGTAGGTACATGGGTGGGCAATTATGGGCAAGCTTCTGTCCCTAGATTTCCAATTACTTATTTGAGCTTAAGACTCTTTAGCTGTGTCCTTTGGCCCTTGCATGCCAGCCTTATCACGTAGGACACCCAAATAACCAAAAATAGCAATTAAAGCCCTTGTGGCCAAGGCACTTTCTTTAGGGACTCTCATCCTTGCCCCCAAGAATTACACTGGGGTAAAATGTAGAATATTTATTCAAAAAGAGTTAAAAGTTGTAAAACAAAGAAAATACAAAAGATACAATTCTACTGGTTAAATGCAAAGCATCTAGGTCTTAAGACTTCTGCAAGGCTTTCCCATAAAGCAATAAAATACAAATAGCTTTACTACTTCATTGCTAGGCTATTCTAAGTTACCATGACTAAGTCTCCAATCTATCAACAAAGGCTGTAAACCTGTCCTCCGTCTTCTCCTTCTCCAATGTACGCACACACCAACAACTTACTTAATCCCCCTCTTCCATAACTTAAATCAAAGTCTCTGTCCCATGATGTTATCCAATCAGCATACAGTCCTTTGTCTGCAACTCCACACCAAACTCGTAACGTTCCACAGCTCCTCCTCATCCCAGGCTAGTACGCCATTAGTAATGAATGTCTGGGTTATCAGTCCGGAGATACAACCTTGGCTCATCTTCACAGGAACAGTCTCTAGGCACGATGAAGACCTGCAAGTCCTGGGAAATAAGTACTACAAAACCCATATCCTCACACTCATTTCTTCCTGCAAGGCCAATTTCACCATTAGATAGAATGCACTGGCAAATAATACAGTTCTATTGACAAGTAATGTGGGAATTGCTCCTGGACTGGAATGGTCTGATTTGCATTATTTTCCATTGACTACATGACAAAAAAGGCCATGCAAATCACTCCAGAATTCTCCGTTCCTTCATTTTTTTCCTCTGCCACTGGGGACTTCTCCTTTTTTGGGAACAAGTGCCTTCGTGTTGTTTCAGGCAGTGCAATCACGTGAGTCAATGTGGAGGGGTTTGTAGCCGTTGTATTTAAAGCAATTCCAGCAGCAGTGAAGCAGGCTTTCCGCATAATATGTTCTGCATGCAAAATGAACAGATAAGGGGATAAAATGAATACTTGTCTGACACATTCTGCTTCTGTCCTGACAACACAGGTTACGCATCAGGACAATCAAGTTCCAAGGCACACCCATTTCTTTCAGAGTAATCCATAGTTTCTCATGATCCATACCGTCAAAGGCTTGAAACTGATCTGAAACTCTTTGGTGTGCTCCAGTAGCCAGCAAATATTTGCAATACAATCTCAAGTGACTGTTCCTTTTAGAAATCCAGCTTGAACATCAGGATTTCTCACTTCATATAAGATAAAAGCCTTCGTTAGAACACCTTGAGCATCACTTTGCTTGCACGGAAAATTGAAGCAATGGTCCTACAGTTACTGTACTCCTTGGCATCTCTTTCACTTCACTTTCCTGAACAGCAGATTACTTGTGACAGGACTCCTCTTCAAAGGCATCTGTAATCTTTTAATCTCTTCTGCAGAGGTCTTCGGTATACTGGTTCCACCTTCTCCTTTCAGTTTTGCTTCTCATCTGTCCTTCCCCATCTTAAGTGTTTCTTCCATTATCCATCTAGGTTTTCCTTTTTACTACAGGAATTGCTTTTTTCCATTCTTCCTTAACAATATCTTTAGTTTCAGTCTACAGTTGTTCTAGTTTGTGGTCAATTGAGTTTAGATCTGTTCCTTATATGGACTTTAAATTCATAAGGAATGTTGCTTGAGCTATATTTTGCACTACAATTGTTTTAGTATTCTTCTTCAGCTTTAATGTTAGATATTAACAGTTCATGGTCAATACCACAATCCACTCCTGGTCTTGTTTTGGCTGAGACTACAGCTTCTCCATCTCCTGCTTACAATTACATAGTCTATTTGGTTTCAATATTGACCATCTCATGATGTCCACATGTACAACTACCATCTACTATTGACTAAAGTGCCTTCACGATACCTGGCTGAGCATTGAAATCTGCTGGCAGATAAGGAGTTTCTCTGTTCCACCATTCAGAGCAGAACACTATGTGGAGACTCAAGAAAGGACTTTCCCCACTACAGTGCCCTGAATGTGGAAGCTCGACTAACACTCGCTTGATGTGTATTTCAACAGCATCTTAAAACCTGGCTGTTCAGTTGAGCATTTGGCATCTAAAGAGACCGTTGCTTTGTTCCTAATCTATGAGACTGTGTGTCAAAGTCCTTTAAAGTGTTTTTACTGTTTGTACTCCACCTTGAAGCTGGTTGATACAGGGTGGCTTAAGAGTATTTCAATAAATAAAACAGTACTTATGTGAATCAAGTAGCTTGTTCCACTGTTTTCAATGGACTTATTCACAAATAGACTTACCTGGACTGAGGCTCGAGTTCACCAAGAGCACTAGCAACATTACAAGAACAAAAGGCCCTGGGAAACCATGGCCTTGTTCCAGTTTATTTCCATCATGTTCTACAGTTCAGTGCAACGCATCTGCTTGCAACTCACTTGACCGTCAGTTGTTATTGCCAATATTACTTCTTAAATAACATTTGTTATTTTGTCTAATATTCCTTTGACTTCTCCAAGCAACACAAGAATGCAAAAACCAGGCTAAAGTTAGGTGAGAGAGCAAAGTTACAGGAATATCAAAAGCAACCATTAGGGTAATAGTATACAAGAATGCAAAAACCAGGCTGAGGTTAGGTAAGAGAGTTACAGGGATATCAAAAGCAACCATTAGGGTAATAGTAACTTCCAAGGAACACTTGAGATGAAATAATAGGCTCTTGGGAGCAGGGGAAGTAATGGTAAGGTGTTAAATCCTGAATTCATTAGCCTGGCTGTGAAACAGTTCCTGTGGAGCCTGGGGAAAGAGGAGATAACAATATGTAACTTCAGGCCACAAAGAAAAAAAAACTCTCTTCATGCAAGCATCATTATAGGGCTGCTGGTTTAAGCATCTGGCTCTAGAGCTCGCAGTGGGGGAGTACAATTCCCCACTCTGTCTCCTTGACAAGGGCTGGCCTTGATGATCCATAGGGTCAGCATAGCATCTCTTCCAGCCCTGCAGTTCTAAGATGGTGATGATGATTTCTATGTAATTTTACTGTGTGTGTCACTCATATTGTTATACATGTTGACATCCACTTTATCTAAAGCCTAGAATTCCTATCCAACAGGCTCTTCTGAGAGTTTTCCTCCTAATATGATGGGGGTTTTTGAGCAAGCAGCCAGGGTTTAGCTCTCCTCAGTTGGCGCAGCTGGGACAGAAGCAGCAGGAGGAGCCTCCTCCCAGCCAAGTCTGTGAGATTTCATGGCTTCTCCCAGATTTCTTGGCATGATATCACCTTATATCTGCTAACAGAAGCTCAGAGGATCCGAGACAGGAGAGCACTCTTCAAATATTTGAATGGCTGTCATCCAGAGGAGGGATGGGATCTGTTCTCAATCATTCCAGAGTGCAGGACATATAAAGGGGAAAAATTTCCAAACTGTGAAACCAGTCCAGGAGGCAGTAGGTATTGCAATGCTGGAGGTCTTCAAGAGGAAATTGGGCAAACATCTATTAGATATACTTTTATTCAGATTCCTTCACTGAGCAGGAAGTTAAGACTTAATGGCCTTATAGGTCCCTTCCAACTGCATCATTCTATGAAGACGAGGGCAAAAAGGTGGGACCAAAATAGTGGGAAATGTTACAGAAAAGGACTGGAAGAAGGCAAGGAAGCAAATCCAATAAGGTATAGCTAGGATGGCACAGAAACACAGATAGTACTTTAGGAAGAGTTTAAAAGGCACATTGTCACTGTAGAACAGGTATAAATATCTCCTTCTGTGTCAGCAGCTACAGTTATTATGTTCCTTAGACTGCTGTATCATTTGTCCCATTTGCTATCTTCGTGCATATAGCTTTATGTTGGTAGAGTTGTAGTCTCCTTCACCATTATAAACATCTCATTTTAGTAATGTCTTTGTCTTATCCTCTCTCTCATCTGAAGTCAGTCACTAACCTAACTGAAAGTTCAGGGGACCTAAACAATACTTGGTTCACAAACAGGATATTAGTTTCTAACAAACATATATTTGTGGTTGGGTTTTTTTGTGCCATCAAGTTGGAACTGAGTTATACTCTAACAAGCATATATTTGTGGTTGGGTTTTTTGTGCCGTCAAGTTGGAACTGAGTTATAGCAATGCTAACAAGGCTTTCAAGGCAAGTGAGGTATTTAAAGAAACGCTAACAAGGCTTTCAAGGAAAGTGAGGTATTTAAAGAGTAGTTTTACCAGTTCCACACTCTCTTTGGCTGAGTGGGGACTTGAACCCAGGGCTCCTGAGTCCTAGCCAGTCACTCTGTCCACTGTATTGCACTGGGTATCTATTACATACTATTATGCCCCAATATGGTTTCTACTGTCAAGAGAATAAGACCAATACGTCAGTGTGTGATGTTTTTGGCTGTGCTTTGCTTTGGTGTGACAGTTCTCAAGAGAATTCAACAAAGTACTTCAGTGAACAAAATTATTAAAGATTCAATACCACATTTATTTAGTGCTCTGTGACTCATACAAGCAAAGTTAAAATTAAATCAGGGTTACAGATACACATTTATCTGAACCGGTGGATAACACATACAGACTTATTCCATGGTGTTATAAATAGAGATGGGGGTAGTCATCTTCATACATGAATACAAATACCCTCATCTCTAGTTGTAAACATCCCTTTTAATTACATTGCCTTACATCTTGCTCATCATTTCTATTTTCTGTGCTACTCAGGAAGGAACTTTGTTGATTTAACAATCACCAACCTAAACATGCATTAAAAGAAATAAAATCTGGTCCTGTATTAATACACTGTACAGATTGATTTCAAATTTAGAAAGATCCATAATCAAAGTGATTTAATCATAAACAGAGAGGTATAAGAAGTGGCTCCAGGAAGCCAAGTCTAAATCAAACTGAATAATCCTGTGACATTCAAACTGACCCACATGATAGTGGAAATGTATTTCAAAACTGTAATTTAAAACCAATGGAATTAATCTCACTTCTTGTTATTTTTTAAAAAGTAATTGGGTTGGGCTGTAGCATTACATGCCCAAATTCATAGCCAAAATCTTTTTGTTGTTCTGAGCCAGCAATCTCTCTTGGCTTGCACAGTTTATTGTCTACGAGGTTGTGCAAGAGGGTCTTGCACTATCCTCCTGTGCATTGGGAAAGTCCCACTCCTTTCAGTGGGGCAATATCTAGCTTGTCAAAATGCAAGATGGAGGTTGCAAGGAGCAGAATGAGGAGCTCTCCGCTTACAGAGTTCTTCCACTTTGCCAAACAGGATTCTAGCCCATCTCCACATAAGAAGAAATCAGTACATATGGTGCATGTTTCAGAAAGTGTGTAGAAGGTCCCTATAGAGGTACAAGGCAGCTAAATACTATGTCAAAGGAATTTCAGATTAAGATGAAGCTCGAGAGGAGAAAGGCCGTGCACTTTCTGGAAGGAGGTTACTTGGGTGGAGGAGGAGAGGAAAAGATGTGGATCCCATTGCTGCAGCTTGCTGAGCTAGCAAACGGCCCAGGCTATATACATTTGAGTTTATGAGGTCATTGCCAGGAATAAGGATGCCAAGCTGCTTCTGAATCTCTTGCAGAACATGGAGCTGACTCTGCTGGTTGAGGAGAAGCATGTCCACATTCTCTCTCATCTTCCTCACTGTTTTGAAAGAGAAAATTATTATTTCCTATGAATAACCTCACTGCCCTCCAAGCCTGTAAGATTTCCCCCACACTTACATTCCTGGAGGATTAGCCCAGAACAATCCTCTGTTTTCTGTTGAACAGGCAGACCTACTGGAGGCATGGAAGGGAAAAAGTACAAAGTCAAGCTTCAAAATCCTCAGACTGAACACATGACGGCAACTAGTTCACATCAGCGCCTGAGAAAATGTGTGGCAGCACCTTAACACAATCCACTTTCTGTATGAGTACAAAGTCAAGCTTCAAAAATCCTCAGAATGAACACATGACGGCAACTAGTTCACAGCACCTTAACACAATCCACTTTCTGTATCATTGAAATGAAAGGAGTCCTATTATTTGTACACTTCTTCAAACACAATGTTAAACAGCAGTATCTGAAATCACTTTCCCTGTAACACTCAACATAGGCAGCGTACACCCATGTTTTGTCTATAAAGACAGACAAAAGGCCAGAAAGCCTCTCGTGGAGAGGAAGGAGACCCTGTGCTTTCTCTTCACAATCCCCACACCCTCTCTCTCCATTTACAAATTTCTTTTGGTGAAGTCCTCATTAAAGTCTCGGCTATTCCACAAACATCTGACTGAGATTTTTAATCTGACATGTCACCAAAAGCAACCAAAACCACATAGAGGTTTTATATATTTAGTATATGACCATTAAAAAAGCAAACAAACAAAAGTTAGAAATCTGGGGAGAGGCACCATTTTAACCCATTAGCATCTCTTCCCTGCCTATGAAACACCAACACAAGTGAACAGCATTCCTTCTTTAAAGTCAAAGATCTATTTATACCCATTTCAGGACTTTGTGGCATCACTCTGGCATGGATTTTCTGGTGCTTAATTAAATTTTTGTGTAGGACAAACGTCTTCTTGCACTCCGGACACCTGTATGATTTCTCTGCTCTTTGCCTTTCGCTACGGTCTGGGTGCTTAGAGACACAAGTTAGGCTTTTGCTGTTATTAACTTTCTTCAATATGTGGGTTTTATTGTGGATCAGGAGGTTTGATTTTTGACCAAATGTTTTCCCACAGTCATTACAGGCAAAAGGTTTTGATCTGCTATGGATTCGCTGATGAATTACAAGGCTTGACTTCTTAGTGAAGTTTTTCCCACAGATCAAGCATATGTACGGTCTCTCTCCCGAATGGATCTTCAGGTGTTTCACAAAGGCATTTTTTTCTTTAAAGCTTTTCCCACATTCAGTACACTTACAGGACTTCATTCTTGCTTGGACCTTTGGGTGATTAATGAAAACTTTCAATATTTTGGACCTGTTTGCTTGGCTGGCAATTTTACTGTTGTGCTTCTGCTTCTGCTTCCAATTCCTATAAACGTTACTGGATTGTTTTCAAAATGTATCCTGTGTTCAGGAACGTCCACATTACATTTTTCTTCAACGCTGTTCTTGATTCCCCCCTGGCATTGCTCACAATGCTTGAAGTCGCTGGAGTAAAAGAAAAAGAAAGATTCCTATTGTGAGTTCCATATGCTTAGGGGAGGTTGGGGGAGAGAATACATTCCTGTCCTAACCAGTACTTGGTTGGGCCCATCCACAGAGGCAGCTTTCAAACAGGTAGAGCAAGCAGAGCTCACTAACAGAAAGAAACAGAAATAAATATAAAGAAGAGCTGTTGCAGGTAGACATGCCTGAGCAAACAGAAAAGTGAAATGGCTTATTCACACACAAACACAAAATGCTATGCAGCCGTTGCACTCAGTCCAAAAACAAGGGTAGATGACCACTGGAATCTCACAAACAGGTGTTGGACTTCGGATCAGGCTGGCCATTACAGAACCTGGGCGTGGCGGGGTACATAAGAAACAGAAACATTCCCCAAATCATCATGGCCAGATATCAAGGGGAGCCTTTAAAAAAAAATAAGTTCCAAAATGGAATCTGTCATCTTGTTAAAATCAGCTTGAAATAAGTAGATTTCCTGGTCTTCTCAATTTCGATAGACAATTTTGTTTCTTCTGCACCACAAACTCAGCTCTACAATGCCTGGCCTGATAGTGAGTTCTGCGGGATTTAAACATTTGCCAGTCTGAGAGATTTGAGTGGTCTAGTAAATCTGTTTTCAGACTATGTGTAAGGACCAAACTATTCTGTTTTGCGGAACTTGTTCTGAATAGCCAACCAAAACAGAGAGATTTACCACCCCCCAAGGAGGACAGCCCCAAATTGAGAACAGCATCTTCCACCAGCCACTAATATCCTTGATCTGGCTGTGTCTTACTTTGTATGTTAACCTACTATTTTAAGCTGATTTTACAGGGTTGCATTTTGCAATTTCTTTTAAACGAGAGATCCTGCCTTCAATATTTAATACAGGTAATAAAGGTATTGCCCAAACTGTTCTTTTACACTGTACCTTTTCTGCTTTGTCAAATCTGTCAAGGACATTTAACTATCAGTCACAATCTTTACAGGGCAGGGAAGGTAGAGACCAAGTCAGCCACATGGAGTAGGTTCTGGAAAATCATCTAATTTTGTGTCAAGAGTCAAAACCAAATGCTTGTTTTCCTATACCCTCCAGCAAAGCATCATCACACACAAGGAAACTCTGCAATCCTCAAACATAATAACATGTGTATATTATATCACTATACAGATATTTATTATTCTTAGATGCAGAGTAAGGAACAAGCAGCATTTCCTGCAATTATATGCAAGGATTTTTTTAAATAAAGGTACAGTACTGTATTTCTGCTGAGTGATTGTGTTTAAGACCATGATATACAAGTGTTGGTATCATCTGTTGAGATGAATGTAAGCAGTACCAAATTGTTAAAAGTCTTCAAGCTACTTTGCAGCCCAACCAAATAAACGCTTTTTCTGAGTTGCCTAAATCTCTACAGCTGAACCCCAATGCTTCATACAGTGCTGTAAACCTACAAATTCAATTCTTTAGGATCTTCTGAGGATTCCTTCACCTTCTGCATCCTCTATAAAACTTTTCTTGACAATTTCTAAAGCATACATATTCTCTCGCCTGAACACTTGGATCCTGTGTTCTATTTAACCCTATTCCTTGGAGAAGAAAAGAATTAGCTGTTATTAACTCAACTGCCTCATGGGCAAATCATCTTACATTACATGGCCATTTTAGATTTTTAGCACCTATATATCAGGCATAATGTAAATCAGGGGTAGGAATCTGTCGTTACAGATGTTCTTGGACTAAAACTCACAACTCTAACCAGTATAACAAAATGTGGAGAAGCATCATGGGAATTGAAGTCCAAAAACATATTGAATACCATATTTCCTGATCACTGATGTAAATGCTCACACCACTATTGCTGGATGCACCACAGCCCTACCAGGAAGTCAAGAATCCAATAAAGCAAGCTCTTTCAGGCATTTCAACTGATTTCTCACCAGTTTAGAGGGATGTGTATGTGTCTTTTTGTTGTTGTTTAGTCCTTAAGTTGTGTCCAACTCACCATGACCCCATGGATTAGAGCATGCCAGGCCCTCCTATCTTCCAATGCCTCCTGGATTTGGGTCACATTGATGTTGGTAGCTTCGATAACACTGTCCAACCATCTCATCCTCTGTCATCCCTTTCTCCTCTTGCCTTCAGTCTTTCCCAACATCAGGGAATTTTCCAGGGAGTCTTCTCTTCTTATGAGATGGCCAGAGTGTTGGAGCCTCAGCTTCAGGATTTGTCCTTCCAGTGAGCACTCAGGGTTGATTTCCTTTAGAATGGATAGGTTCGAAATCCAACTTGTGTTTCTGGGAATTCTCGGTCCATATACTGCTGAAACCTACCTTGAAGGATTTTGAGCATAACCTTGCTAGTGTGTGAAATAAGTGCAATTGTACAGTAGTTGGAGCATTCTTTGGCA